AAATCACTACTCCAAGAAACCATAAGAAATCTACATAAATGGAAGAACATACCATGCTCATGGATAGAAAGATTGAACATTGTGAAAATTCAATACTACCTAAAGCAATCTATACATTCAATGCAATCCCAATCCAGATCACATCAATAGTTTTTAAGGATATGGAAAAACCAATCACTAATTTTATATGGAAAGGAAAGAGACCTTGAATAAGCAAAGCACTGTTGAAGAAGAATAAAGTAGGAAGTCTAACACTGCTGGATCTCAAAAGGTACTGTACAGCCACGGTAGTCAAACCAGCCTGGTACTGGTACAACAACAGACACATAGACCAGTGGAACAGAATTGAGAACCCCAAAATAGATCCATCAAGCTATGGTCAACTGATTTTTGTCAGAGGGCTGAAATCCATTAAATAGGGAAGAGATGGTATCTTTAACAAATTGTTGTTGTTATGTGCCGTCGAGTCGGACCTGACTCATAGCGACCCCTCCTTGGGTTTCCGAGGCAGTATCACTACGGAAGTAGATTGCCCCATCTTCCTTCCAAGGGGTAGCTGGTGGGTTTGAACCACCAGCCTTCTGGTTAGCAGGCAAGTGCCTTAGCCACTATGCTACCAGAGCTCCCCTTTAACAAATGGTGCTGGCAAAACTGGATATCCATTTGCAGAAAAATGAAACAAGATCCGTACCTCACACTATACACAAAAACTAACTCCAGATGGATCAAAGACTTAAATGTGAAACCTAAAACTATAAAGTTCCTCAAGGAAAAAATAGGGGGAAATTTAGGGGCCCTAATTTATGGCATAGGAGCTCTGGTAGCATAGTGGCTAAGACACTTGCCTGCTAACCAGAAGGCTGGCAGTTCAAACCCATCAGCCTCTCCTCGGAAGGAAGGCTGGGCAATCCTACTTCCATAGTGATACAGCCTCAGAAACCCAAGGAGGGGTCGCTATGAGTCGGGGCCGACTCGATGGCACATAACAGCAACAACAATTTATGGCATAAATAGACTGTCAAGCATAACCCAAAATTCACAGACAGCTGAAGATAGAGTAGATGAATGGGATCTTCTCAAAATTAAATTTTTATGTGCTTCCAAAGACTTCCCCAAAAGAGTCAAAAGAGAACCTACAGATTGGGAAAAAATATTTGGCAATGACATATCTGACAAGGGACACTCAGCATAATGTCTGAATTTTATAATTTATAATTAAATTTTATAATCTCTAAAATTCATAGAAAACTCCAGCACCTCAACAAAAAAAAACACAAACTATCCAATTTAAAAATGGACAGAAGACATGAATAGACACTTCACCAAAGAGGATATTCAAGCAGCCAGTAGATACTTGAAGAAATGCTCACAATCATTAGCCATCAGAGAGATGCAAATCAAAACAACAATGAGATACCATCTCACCCCAGCATGAATGGCAAAGTTCAACAAGACAGAAAATAACAAATGTTGGCAAGGATGTGGAGAGATTGGGATTCTCATACACTGCTGGTGGGACTGTAAAATGATACAACCACTGTGGAAAGCAGTATGGTGATTCCTTAAAAAGTTGGAATTAGAAATACCATTTGGCCCAGCAATCCCATTACTAGGTATGTTTCCTAAAGTGAGAGCCAGGACAAGAACAGACACATGCACACCCATGATCATTGCAGCATTATTTACAATAGCAAAAATATGGAAACAACCTAGATCCCCATCAACAGAACGGATAACCAAACTATGGTGCATATGCACAATGAAATACTGTGCAACACTAGAGAATAATGTAGAATCTGCAAAACACTGCATAACATGAATGAACTTGGAGGACATTCTGCTGAGTGAAGTAAATCAACCAGAGAAGGACAAATATAGTATGAGTTCATTATTGTAAAAAGTCAAGACAAAGTTTATATATGTAAGGGAACTTTTTTTGTTGGTTACTAGGGGTGAGAGGGGAGAGGAGAGAACATTGCAAAAAAAAAAAAAATTGACGCATGTCACTTTAGTTTCGTGTATTTCACTGTATATAAATTATATTTCAATACAATGTATTAAAAGAAAGAAAGAATACACACGGAGAAGTACATTTGCGTTGGAACCTACCCTTCGGTTGGTAAAAAGGGTGTAGCACTCCTTGACCAGAACCGTCTTGATGAGGGCAGGATCCAGGATGGCCAGGAGGGGCTGTCTGCCTTCAAAGAAGCTGTTGCAGGCACCACCACCCAAAACAAAACACAACAAGAGGTTAAAAGACAGACTGTCTCTCTGTTTGCTTTTCAGTGGAACAATTCAGTGATATCAACCCCATGAATGATGCTCTGTGACCAGCACTGGTCAAGGCTGCCACTGTCCATCAGCTTAATCAGAAACTCTCCTCCCTCCATGACAGCCTGTTGTTGGGGTTGTTGTCTTGTCGATTCCGAGATGTGTGACCCACGTGGGACAGAGGACAGTTAGTTCACAGGGTGTTATTGGCTGTCATCTTTATGTAAGCAGATGGTCAGCCTTTCTTCATGGTGCTGCTGGCCAGGTTCAAGCCACCGACTTCTAGTTGACAACTGTGCACAGACTGTTGGCACCAGCCGGGGACACCACGGTAAAGTGTGGCCTTCCGGCCTCCAAAAAAGGTCTATTCTCAACCCTTCATGTGAGCACGATCACCCAGTATTTGTCCTTTTGGGATTCACTTATTTCACTATTAAAAAAACATTCCCCAAACTGGTTTCCTGGTCAGCAAGCTCGGCCTTTGGGTTATTTTCTCTCTAGGAACTTTATCATTAAGCACTCCCCCTTCTATTTTTCCCTGATGGCATAAATGAAGATCTGAGTGTCTCACACAAGGATAGCGCCTTCCCTCCTCTCCCGCTCCCACTATCTCACACCTAAGGAGCTCTGCTGACATGTTGGGTAAGACATTTGGCTGCTAACCAGAAGGTCTGCGGTTCAAACCCATCAGCTCATCTGTGGGAGGAAGATGAGACAATCTGCTTCCATAAAGATGTAAGCCTTGGAAACACAACGAAGCTCACTATAAGTTGGAACTGACTTGATGACAGTGGGTTTGGGTTTTTCTTTCTTTTTCTCCCCACTCTTTCACACCAACTCATTGCTTAGTTTCTTATCAAGCATCCTGTCTTTCAGCCATGTTGAAATCCATTGTCCTTATTTTACAGGGAATATTCTGGAGCCTTTCTCTCATGGAGCTTGGGGACATGCAATCTTAAGGGTTCTGTTTGAATCAGTGTTGATGAGTGTGATTACCACCACCCAAAATGAGAGCCAGAACATCCCCTCACCCATCTCTCCACCCCAAGACCACACTGAGTGAACAGGCATACCTTGGAGATATTGTGGGTGTGGTTCCAGAATACTACAATAAAACGAGTCACAAGGATTTGCTGATGTACCAGTGCATCTGAAAGTTATATGTACACTCTGCTGTAGTCCATTAAGTGTGTCAGACCGTGATGAAAAAGTTTGAAGTATTGTGAGAATGACCAAAATGGTACACAGAGACACAAAGTGAGCACACGCTGTTGGAAAAATTACTCCAATAGACTCACTCAACACAGGGCTGCCGCAGATCTTCAATTTACGAAAATCATAGTATCTGCGAAGTGCAATAAAGCAAAGAGCAATAAAACGAAGTGTGCCCATATTCCTCACTCTTAGCATACTTTGTCCAGGATGTTGGTGAGACTCCTGACTCTGGTGTGAGTGTCGATAGCTTGTTCCTTCTTATTGCCAAGTAGTGAGCATTTATTGCCAAGTAGTGAGCATTCCATGCTATGGATGTACCACCATACATTTACCCATGTAGTGTCGACGAGCATGTGGACTGTGAATAAGGATACTGCTATGGATTGAACTGTGTCACCAGAAAGACCAATTGAAGTCCTAACCTAGCCCTGGTGAATGCAAACTTATCTGGGTCAGTTAAATTGACAAGGTCCAACCAGAGTAGGGTGGGCTCTAGTCCCATCTGGTTGAGTCCTATAAAAGGAAGACCAGGGGACAGAGTGACATGGGAAGACACCATGTGAAGGTACATCTACAAGCATTGGGAGAGCAAGGATTGCCACTAGAAGCTCTGAAAGCGGCCTGGGACAGGTCCTCTCTCAGGGCCCTCAGAAGGAATCCACATGGTCAATATGGTCATTTGGACTTCTACCCTCCAGAGAAGATAAATGTCTCATCTTTAACCAATTTTATTTTTGGTATTTTGATATGGCAGCCCTTGGAAACTAAGACAGCTGCCATGAACGTTCTAGTATGAGTCTCTTTGTGGACACGGTTCATTTCCCTTGGGCTAATATGTAGGAGCGGAATTGCTGAGCCACAGGGTAAACGTGCCTTGACCTTTATGACAACACTGTCACACCGTTCTTCAGGTGGTAGTGCCATCTTACACTCCCATCGGCACTGATGAGAGTTCCAGTTGCTGCACATCCTCACGACGTATTCATCAAGACCCTGCTCTGATATGAGCTCCTCTGGGAAGATCTGGGAGGGCTGAGTCCTTGTCCTTTGCTTCATTCAGGACCCCGAATGCATAGTCACTACCCAAATACTTGCAGATTAATTTTCCAGTTGACTAACCCAAACCAAACCCATTGTCACCAAGTCAATTCTGACTCACAGCAACTCAACAAGACAGAGGAGAACTGCCCCAGAGACTGCCCCATCTTCCTCCTGCAGGGAGGCTGGTGAGTTTGAACAGCCAACCTCTTGGTTACCAGCCAAACACTTAACCACTGCACCACTATGGCTCCTTCAAGTTGACAAGAATACTGAAATGCCTCCAAATCCACTATAGAAATGTCCAGTTTTAAAGGTCAGGGTGTTAGACAACAAAGATGACAGTGGATGCTGTGGCCTCACTGCCTATGTCCAGGTTTGATGATGGGCTGGACTCATAGTTATGGTACTGTCCCAAGAGAAGGCACCAACCTGCCTGAGTCCATCACCAATAAGATACGTTGTGGGAATGGGAGGGGCTTAACTGTGAGATACTTACCCCCACATTTTGCCATATTTCTTAGAACATTCCAGGTCAAATTCAAAAAGTCCCTGTAAAAGAAGAAAGTCTGTTAGACCAGTGATAACAGGATTGTCCATAGAACACTGTGTGGTTACTGCTTAGCCACCGAAAGGGCTCTTCTCCATCACCCAGGCTGTAGTTTCCCAAAGTGTACGCAAGATTATTTGCTTGGTACCTGCAAAAGTGTATGTTATGTTGACATTAGGGTACACCACACACAATGCCAGATTCTGATACATCGTTTTTGAATCCTGATCGACATGTTAAGGTAAGAGGGTATGAGCTTATACAGGTCATACTATGAGGCTGGCTGTCATGATCACTTGACTGAGTGTTCTAGGTGGTTCTTGTCTTGTAAGCATCGGTGTGTGTCCTTCAGTGATCTGGTGACTGTTAACAGTCACGAATACTTTTTTAATACGAGTTCATACTAAGATTTGCTCCCAGCAAATCCCAAAAGAAAAACCCCAAAACCCCGTGGTGAGCATCCATCTGGTGAGAAATTGGTCGTCCCACCTTCACTCAGCCCCTCAGCCCCTCTCCTGTGCAGACTGTAAATGACAGGGCTCTCAGCCTTGCCTGGGGTCTCCTTACAGCCCTCCTTCCTCCTTGTCTTCCTGACTCTACCTCTTCACTTCAAGACAGAGGGAAGAAGAGTTAGAATCAGTCAAACAAGCCAAGAGATTCCAGGCTCTGGGGAAAAGGGCTCAGACACACACTCACCTTTCGATATTCCAAAAATGTCCCAAAGAAAGGCAGAGGCCTGGGTCCAGGGATACCCAGCTTCTTAAACAAGTTATACGGCCATATTCCATACCTGTGATGGAGACAGAGGGTGAAGGGAAGGTGCTCGGTCCAGTAAAACTTTCTGCCGTGATGAGAGTGCTCCATAGCTGTGCTGTCCAAGATGGTGGCTACTTGCTACATGCAACTACTGAACACTTGAAATGTGGCTGGTGTTACCGGGGATGTCAGTCATTGAAGGGCTAGTTCCTTTGTCAAATGGGCCAAAACCTCCCTTCCATCCACCCGCCTCATGTCTTCTTTTGCAGAAGTCATTAGAGAAGGGGAGTCCTTGGGTGGTGAAAACAGTTAATGTGCTCAGCTGCTAGCTGAAGGGCTGGGGGTTCAAGTTTCCCCAAGCGTGTGTCAGAAGAAAGGCCTGGTGATCTACTTTACAAAAATCCACCATGGAGACCCCCTGGAGTACAGTTCTACTGTGACACGTGTGGGCCACCATGACATGGAATGCCAATCGCAACTGGTCTCAACAAGAGAAGGATCTGTAGACGTGGTAGAAGTTCATATGGATGCTGAGTGATGAACAAGGTTTGAACAAGAAAAGGCAGAGCCACCTAGGAGATGGCACGGGGCAGGATGCGTGTTGCCTGGAAGAGTTCTTGGCAGTCATTGAACTGAATCACCTGCCCATGGCGATGAGGAGTCCTTGATTCTAAAGGAAGCCTGAATCCTGCGGGCAGAGAAAAGCCTACAAGGTCTCGTGTACAGAAGCTTAGCGTGCCATGTGTGACCCTATGTACATAAGGTTCTTGAAATGATAAAATTACTGAGATGAAAAACAGATGTGTTTCCTAATTCCAGGGGGTGGGGGTGGCTGTGAGGAAATCACAGGAGGGGATTTTGTGTTGAGGGACCAGTTGTGTATCTCGACAGTGGTGGGGGTTCCAAGAATCTCCATGTGAGGTACCACCACTCATCTGTCAGGTTGTCGTACTGTGGTGGCTGGCATGTTGCTGTGCGGCTGGAGGCTATGCCACTGGTATTTAAAATACTAGCAGGGTCACTGTGAGTGACAAGTTTCAGCGGCACTTAGAGACTAGGACAGACTCAGAAGAAGGAAGAAGCTATCCATTTCTCAAAGAATTGGCCAATGAATAGCAGTGAAACACTGTCTGATATATTACTGGAAAACTTTGTGAATAGCCCTGAAATATTGTGTGATATAGTGCTGGAAGATGAGTCCTTCAGGTTGAAGGGCACCCAAAATACAACTGGGGAAGAGCTGCCTCCTCAGAGTAGAGCCAACCTTAATGATGTGGATTGAGTAAAGCTTTCTGGACCTGTTTGCTGATGTGGCATGACTTAAAATGGGAAGAAATAGCTGTAAACATCCATTAATAATCAGAACATGGAATGTACAAAGTATGAATCTAGGAAAACTGGAAGTTGTCAAAAATGAGATGGAATGCATGAAGATTGATATCCTAGGCATTGTTGTTGTTGTTGTTATGTGCCGTCGAGTCAGCCCTGACTCATAGCGACCCCTCCTTGGGTTTCCGAGGCAGTATCACTACGGAAGTAGGATTGCCCAACCTTCCTTCCGAGGAGTGGCTGGTGGGTTTGAACCGCCAGCCTTCTGGTTAGCAGTCAAGTGCCTTAGCCACTATGCTACCAGAGCTCCTAGGCATTAGTGAGCTGAAATGGACTGATTTCAGCCATTTTGAATCAGACAGCCATCTGATCTACTATGCCAACCAAACTGCCATGGAGTCATATCTGACTCACAGCTACTATTCCTCGGGTTTCTGAGGCAGTATCACTACAGAAGCAGATTGCCCAACCTTCCCTCCAAGGAGTGGCTGGTGGATTTGAACCACCACCCTTCTGGGTAGCAGTCAAATGCCCTAGGCACTAGGCTACCAGAGCTCTATGCCAGGAATGACAAATTGAAGAGGAATGGTATGGCATTCATTGTCACAAAAATGTTTGAAGATCTATCCTGAAGTACAATGCTGTGAGTAGTAAGATAATATCCATATGCCTACAAGGAAGACCAGTTAATACTACTGTTGTTCAAATTTATGCCTCAACCACAAAGCCAAAGATGAGAAAATTGAGGATTTTTACCAGCTTCTGCAGTCTGAAATTGACCAAACATGTAATCCAAATGTATTGATTATCACTGGTGATTGGAATGCAAAAGTTGAAAACAAAGAAGAATCACCAGTAGTTGAAAAATATGGCCTTAGTGATAGAAATGACACCAGAGATTGCATGATAGAATTTTGCAAGACCGATGACTTACTCATTGCAAATATCTTTTCTCAACAACACAAACAGCAGCTATACACATGGACTTCACCAGATAATGTACATAGGAATCAGATTGACTACATCTGTGGAAAGAGGTGATGAGGAAGCTCAGTACCTTCAGCCAGAACAAGGCCAGGATCTGAGTGTGGAACAAACCATCAGTTGCTCATATGCAACCTCAAGTTGAAACTGAAGACAAAACAAGTCCATGAGAGCCAAAATATGACCTTGATTATATCACGCCTGAATTTCGAGAGGGGCTGTGGTGGTGTAGTGCCTACGGCATTTGACTGCTAACCAGAAGGTTGCAGCAGTATATTGACAGAGAACTTCCAGAAATACAGGCTGGATTCAGAAGAGGACATGGAACAAGGGATATCATTGCTGATGTCAGATAAATCTTGGCTGAAAGTAAAGAACACCAGAAAGACACGTACTTGTATTTTATTGACTATGCAAAAACATTTGATTGTGTGGATCATAACAAATTATGGGGAACATTGAGAGGAACAGGAATTGTGGAACACTTGATTGTGCTCACACGGAACCTGCGCACAGACCAGGAGGCTGTTCTAACCAAACAAGGGGACACTGCATGGTTTAAAATCTAGAAGGGAGTGCGTCAGAGTTGTATCCTTTGATCATTCTTACCCAATCTGTATGGTGAGCAGATAATCCAAGAAGCTGGATTATGTGAAGAAGAATGTGGCATCAGGATTGGAGGAAAACTCATTAACAACCTGCGATACACAGAGGACACAATTTTGCTTGCTGAAAGTGAGGATGACTTGAAGCACTTACTGATGAAGACTGAAGATGTTGGATTACATCTCAACATAAATAGAACAAAAATCCTCACAACTGGACCTATAAGCAGCATCATGATACGTGGAGAAAAGATTGAAGTTGTCAGAGTCCATATTACTTGGTTCCACAATCAACACCCGTGGAAGCAGCAGTTAAGACATCGGATGTGTTGCCCAGGGCACATCTGTTGCACAAGACATTTTTGCTAAAGAGCAAAGATAGTTCTTTGAAGACTAAGGTGGCCTGACCCAAGCCATGGTACTTTGAATCGCCTCATATGCATATGAGAGCTGGACAATGAATAAGGAAGACCAAAGAAGAATTGATGCTTTAGAGTTGTGGTGCTGGCGAAGAATGCTGAAAGGACCATGGACTGCTAAAAGAACTAACAGGTCTGTCCTGGAGGAAGTGCAGCCAGAATGCTCCTTGGAGGGAAGGATGACCAGACTTGGTCTCACCTGCTTTGGCCATGTTGTCAGCAGGGGCCATTCCCTGGAGAAGGATGTCATGCTTGGTAAAGTGGGGGGTCAACGAGGAAGGGGAAGACCCTCAA